TTTCTCTGTCCAGACACAGCCCTCATTACTCTAATCCTCTGACTTTGAATAGAGCTAATTTAACTTAATTTTATTCACCCAGGTCCTGAAGGCATTTGATTTTGCAACCCCTGCCAAATCTTATCTACTTTCCACTCTGCAACTATAGGGTCAATATCAACTCCTGATATGGGCCCAGAAATAAATCAGCCTCAGCCACAAACCCTTTGCCATTAGGCAAAAAATCTCATTCCCTCTTTCTCCTGTTCTAATAGAACCATGGGAAAGGCCTTGAGCTGCAGAGGGGAGGGAAAGGCCTCCCTACTGACCTGCGTAGCCTCTAAACCCTGCCTTCCTCAGACTCTGATATTACTGGGAGGGTCAGAGCCAAAACTGTCCCACCTGTCCCGCCACCCTGTTCAACAGAGTATAAAATGAGACAAATTGTTGGAACAAAGTAGATCAACTTTCCCTCCTAGTGGTACTGGTTTTTCTCCAGCACTTTGTTTCTGAATGGCCATGACCTCTGTGAGTGGGCATTTCCTCCCCCTTTCTCACCCCAATGTGTAGCTCAGGCACCCCATCTCTGAGCATCTCCTCACTGGGATGTCCCTTTTCATTTCATCCACAAAGATATTTACCGGGTGCCAGACACTGCTCTGGGCTCTGGGGATTCAGTCTTGAATATACAGGCAAGGTCCTTGTCCTCTTGGAGCTCACTTCCTACTAAGAGATGCAGACACAAGTCAGGTGATCACACTAATAAGTACATAGTACGGTGCTGTCACAATGGAATGCTTGGGGACCTGTTGCCCCCTAGCAGTCTGTGGTCTCCATAAGTAGAATAACAATAGTACCAGACCCTGTTGGTATGTTTTACATATTAATTTACTTTATCTTCACAACAAGCCTACCAAACAGATAGTGTCATTATCACCCTCATGGTACAGGAGAGATTTACAGCCACTGAGAAGTTAAATAACTTGCCCGAACTCATCCTGCCAGTCCGGGCGATGCTTCTGCTCTTGGTTGAGCAGCAGACTTGTCTACAGCCTGGTAAATTTCAAAGTGTGCCACAGTCCCCTGAGAACAAGACAGGGGGAACCAGGCTCAACCCCAGTAGGTAAGATTTAGGTTAGACACTAGAAAGAACTCCTTGGCAACAGTTATAAGTATATGAGAAAAGGAATTCCTTTTCTGGGAATTTGCTTCTCCCCTGAATTTCCTGTATGGCACAAATAGCATTGTAAAAAATAGAGGAATTATTCTAGGAAAAAAAAAGATCTCTCATAATTCTTCCTTGTGAATTGGGTTCCTTTTTCCATCTTTTTTTTTTTTTTTATAGCCCAATGTGAGTCTTGAACTCATGACCCCGAGTTCAAGAATCAGATGCTTCACCAACTGAACCACTCAGGTACCCCTCTTCTTTCCATCTTTCTGGGCCAGGTTGAGGCTGTTAGACAGCTGGGTCACTGAGACGGGAAGTGACTAGATCTGGCAAGGCAAGGATATGCCGACTAGCAGAGGTCAGCTCCCCTCTCCGTGCTTCCATAGCGGGTGGACACCCCTGTGTACCTCAGCAGGGGGACCTGGGCACCTTCTCACCCTTACAGGCCACTCTGGATAAAGTAGGGCAGGGGTGAAGCTGTGGGGGATTACCTGCTATTTCAGAGGAGAACAATCAAAACTGCATGTGATCTGTGTCCCTGGGGGAAACAGGGAGGGGAGAAAGGAGCAGTCAGTAAGGATCAGGCAGAGCTAGGTGATTAAAATGGCTTCCAGGTCAATGGGTAGGGTCGTAAGTTCCCATTGCCTCACCCCACCCTCATTTCAACACCTCCAGCCCTGAGCTGGCCGCATAATTCCTTGGGTATCCTGGGATGTCCCCTCTTGCTCTCGGGAGATCTGTGTCCTCCCCACCAAGGATTTCCCTTAGGTCTAATAAAATATTTTTCGCATGCCAAATGCTTCAAAGTTTGAAGTATTTTTCCCACATTCCCTCATCTTTTAAAATAAACTTTATTTCTTAGAGCAGTTTTAGGTTCACAGTGATACCGAGCAGATATTCCCTCATTTTTTTTTTTTTAAAGATTTTATTTATTTATTTGACAGAGAGAGAGATAGTGAGAGCAGGAACACAAGCCGGGGGAGTGGGTGAGGGAGAAGCAGGCTCCCCACGGAGCAGGGAGCCTGATGTGGGACTCGATCCCAGGACCCTGGGATCATGACCTGAGCCGAAGGCAGACGCTTAACGACTGAGCCACCCAGGGCGCCCGATATTCCCTCATTTTTGCAGTCAAAATGCTCTACCACTGAGCTATACCCCCTATTCCCTCATTTTTAATTTGGTTCTCATATCAGCCCTACAAAGAGGCAGGACTGGTATTACTATCTCCATATGGACACTTAGATTACATTTAGAATCACACAGTAGCAAACAGAGTCTGGTGTTAACTGAGGTCTTCTGATCTCTTAAGCCCCAGACACTTTCTCTTGGTTCCCTCAGAGTGCCTTCTGAATCTTTCCAGATCTTTCCTCCCCCCAAGCATGGTAACCCTGCACCATCTCTCCTTCCTAGAGCTTAGAACCAAGTTTGAGAAGTTTCCCCAGTTTCCTTGTTGGCTGCAGGGGACCACAGAGAGCCCATCTGTTTTCCCAGTGGAAGGCCCACCCTGGCAGAGGCACTGGGACCCAGAACTTGTACAATGCCCTGATAAGCTTCTTAGAGGCAGGTATTAGCAGGGATCGGATATTCTTCCCCTGAGATGCCCTTCACACCCGACCCTGCCTTGAATTAGGATTCCACAGGAGAGCTGGGGACAGGAGAATGGGGTGTTTCCTGCTGTCCAGCTTCAGACTCACTCTTTGAGACCCTGGATTCTGACAAGTTTCCAGAACTAAGAAGACACTCAGATGTCCAGGCTTGAAGGTAAATGATGTGATTAGGTAGGAGGGGTCAGCTGGAGTGCCGGCTCAGCTCTGTTAGACAACACAGGCAGACCAGAAAGAAAGGGACCCTCCAAAGTTTCTTTAGGAGAGTCAAGCAGCTTGCTGCGGAGTTGAGTTTATGGCAAGGGACAGGGCCACTGGGAAGACGGTTACAGGAATCAAGGACAGAGAAGGAAATGTACTTATTCTGTACTTCTTTTGCTGGTTCCTTCTTTGCTTTAAGACAAATGCATTTGCGTCTCTAATTAGTGCGGCCTGCTGGGAAGATTGGGGCATTAGAAGGCTCACTGGCACAGCCACTCATGAGCTGTGTCAGGTTGAGCAAGTGCAGCTCCTCTCTGGATCTCAGCTTCTTCACGTCCCAAATGGGGAGTTACGCTAACTAGTGTCTGTAAGTCCTCCTACTTTTAATGACTGGAGACTCCATGAGTCACTCATCTCACTTCTAATTATATTCCTTTAAATGCAAAACCAACCATTTCTAGTTATTGCTTTATAATAATCTGTAGACACTAGAGATTTAATAAATACTTGGGCTGGACCTCAGTGCCCTTCTTTATAAATTGAGGATTTTTTCAGAGCCCTTCATGTTCTTCTTCCCCTCCTGAAGAATATAAAATTAAACCTTTATATAAAACTATAAAATTAAAATTTTATATAAAATTAACCCTTATGTAGCACTTGATTCTGTACAATGCTTTTCATAGACATTATGTGTTTTTACTCTCTCAACATTCCTGTGACATAGGTATGTGTTGTTACTACTGTTACTTCTTTTTTTTCTCAAAGATTGTATTTCTTTATTTGACAGGGAGAGAGAGAGAGCACAAGTAGGCAGAGCGGCAGGCAGAGGGAGAGGGAGAAGCAGGCTTCCCGCTGAACAGGGAGCCCGATGTGGGGCTTGGTTCCAGGACCCTGGGATCATGACCTGAGCTGAAGCCAGCCGCTTAACCAACAGCCACCTGGGCACCCCCTATTGTTATTTCTATTAAAATAAATTAAATTTAAATTTAAAATATCATAAAACGGCACAGGATAAAAAGGTTAAACAGTTAAACTGAACATCAGGATATACTGAAAAGTAAGTCTTCCTCAGACCCCGACCTCAGTTTCCCTTCTCCAGATGTCCTTCCAAGGATCAACTTTGCATAATCAAGCCATATGTTAACCCGCTTATTTCACAGATGAGGCAGTGAGGTTCGCCTGTCCAGGGTGGCACAGCTGGAAAGCAGCAGAGCTGGAAATCCAGGGCTTTGACTCCATTCTCCATGTTCTTCCCAACACACCACACTGTCTGGGAAGCATCATGACTTTAGCTTTGTCCTCTCTGGGTGATACCATGGAATTGTTTTATTTTTTAATATTTTATTTTATTTTATTTTATTTTATTTTATTTTATTTTTTGGTGCCGAAACCCGGGATCATGGAATTGTTTTAAATGGGTCCAAAACCAAAAAACCAAAAAACACCCACACGGAGTCTTGATGTTTCTAGCACTGCCTTCTCCTGCTGCCTGTTTTTGTCTAAAGCTTAAAATCTTGTCTCCTTATCTTCCTCCTGCCTTTGACAAGGTGAGATCTGTGGCCTGGGGCACTAACTATGGATGACTGGCTCCCAGCAACTCAGGCTTGGACCTGAGGGGTGCTGGCAGACCTCTCGCAGGGATCCCAAAAAGGGTGAGGTAGACCCAGCTCAGGAACCTGGGCTGTTGGCATGCCTACACAGCACAGAGGACCTCTAATGCTTTTTCCTAAGAGCAGGCATTTTTCTCTGGAACAGGCAGTAGGGGTAGTTTTGTTCCAGCAGAAACAACTGCTTCCTAGCACAAAGGCCTCTGTATGAATTGTCATCACTCTTTTCTAGGTGATGGTCTGATGTCTCCAAGCTCTCCTCTTAGGGGCAAATAACCTCTTTTTTTTTTTTTTTTTTACCCTCCCTCTAGGTTTGTGGATACCACCTGGCTGGGCTTCATGGAGAAATCGTCACTGATCACCAACCTGAATCCCAGAACAGACCCCATCTTTCCATGGACAGAATGAGAGGTCTTCTGTAACCAGGCATAACTGGCCATCATGGGGAAATTGATCAGAATGGGAACACGGGAGAGGCGGTTACTCCGGCCAAAGCGGCTTCATTGGAATCGCCTCTTCTTCCTGTTGGGAATGTTGATCATCGGTTCCACCTACCAGCACCTGAGGAGCCCCCGGGGCCTCCCCTCATTGTGGGCAGCAGTCTCCTCCCAACACCCTATGAAACTGGCCAGCCGTGACCTCCCTAACAACAATATGATGATGGTGAGCAGTGACCCTCCAAGAGCTAGCTCTGAAATGGCGGGTGACACACGGGTGCCCCAAACTACAGTGGGCAGGGGTGAGGCAACACCTGGCATAACAATGGAGAATACCCCCAATCCACCCAGAAGGACAGCCAACATCACTCCAACAATACCCAAGAATAACTACAGCCTAACAGCAGCAGACACAGAAAGAATGAAGGAAGACACCACAATCACACCCAGTAGAGTACTGAATCACTACACCCCAACTTCAAGCAGGCCAACAGTAAAGAATCATACCCCAACAACATCACCCAGGGTAGAAATGCAGAGCTATCACCCAACTCAGGCTGGGAGAAAGGTGATGAAATACACCCCATCTCCACTTGGTAGACTAGTAAGCACTTATGTCCCATCCACACTCATGACAATGACAGAGAGCCATGGGATCACCCCCAGAACAACAGTGAAAGACAGTGAAACTATGACAACCACCAAAATATTGGAGACCAACCCCTCTAAGAGAATAGTAGAGGAAACCACCCCAACTACTCTCAAAGGAATAATTAATAAAACGCCAACTTTCCTGATAAATGACATAGAAACAAACATCTTGACTTCTCCAAGGAGTATGACAGAAGAGAACACCCTGACTACCCCCAGAAGAGTGGACAATAACAGACTGACTAAGCCCCGGAGGTTAGTGGGAAAGAACAAGCTGACAACGCCCCTGGGAATGGGCCTGGAGCACACCACAGCCATCTCTGAGGGGCAAGTGACAATACGCACCACCACAGCAGGCAGTGGCCTAACAGAAACCAAAGCCTCTACCGCTACCTGGAGTATTAGTAATCCCTTATCTGGAACCAGTGTGTCAACCATCGGAATGTCCTCCGCCACCTTCCGGGGGCTGGCAAAGAAATCTTCCATGGCACCCAGGCCCTCAACACCCTCCAAGGTCAGGGCAAATCCAGCCATCCAGGTCCGTCACTGTGTGGTTGTGGAGCCAGCCCCGGCGGTGCCCCCTGCTCCCTCCCCCAGCCTGACAACAGCTATGATCCCAGAGGCACCTAGTTCCAATCCCTCAGTGCTGCCTCCTGGCTGGCCAGACCTTCACTCCAAGGCAGAGTACCCCCCAGACTTGTTCAGCATAGAGGAGCGGCGACAGGGCTGGGTGGTCCTGCACATCTTTGGCATGATGTACGTGTTTGTGGCCTTGGCCATCGTGTGTGACGAGTACTTTGTCCCAGCCCTGGGTGTCATCACAGAGAAACTGCAGATCTCAGATGATGTGGCAGGTGCCACCTTCATGGCTGCTGGAGGCTCTGCCCCTGAGCTCTTCACCTCCCTCATTGGTGTCTTCATCTCTCACAGCAATGTGGGCATTGGTACCATCGTGGGCTCTGCTGTGTTCAACATCCTCTTTGTCATCGGCACCTGTGCCCTCTTCTCCCGGGAGATCCTCAATCTCACATGGTGGCCCTTATTCCGTGATGTCTCTTTCTACATCCTTGACCTGATAATGCTCATTCTCTTCTTCCTGGACAGCCTCATTACCTGGTGGGAAAGCCTGCTGCTACTGCTGGCCTATGCTTTATATGTGTTCACCATGAAGTGGAATAAGCAGCTCGAGGTCTGGGTGAAGGAGCAGCTCAGCAGGAGGCCAGTGGCCAAGGTCATGGCCCTAGGGGACTTCAGCAAGGTAAGGACAGGCTGGCTCAAATTTCTGTAGCCCCTTTGGGGTAAAAAGATGAGGGGAGAGACCAGTGACTGTAGAATGGAAATTGCTGGGTCAGACCTCAAGAGATGGGTGCTCTGCTTCCCTTTGCTATTCATTCAACATTTAAAGTCCTATTCTTTGCCAGGTGCTTGGCAAGAGTGACCTTGGCTCAGCTCCCAACCATCCAATGGTTATTATTACGATCCACCATTGGCAGTGGAAGAAACTGAGGCCTAGTGAATTTAAAGCACTGTTCAAGGTCACACAGCAAATAGGCAGTGGAGCCAAGATTTGAACTTGGGTTGGTCTCACTGGGTGTTTGGAAGTGACATTTGAGCTGGGCTTTGGAGAACATCCAAGGAGTTATCCGGCAGGGAAAAATGATAATCTCTTCCATGTGCATGGTGTTTAGGGTTCATCTAGCACCTTCTCTCTCATTTAATCCTGTTTGTTCACATTCCACATTTGGAGCTAGTGGCTTGGATGGGGTCTGACAAGGTGGACGTTTTTTGTCTTTGTTTTGATTTTGATATATTGGATATATCCAATATATATGATATTTTGATATATATATTGATATATTGGAGATGAGAGCTCCACTCATCCGCTGACAAGCTAGCCTTGGGTGCAGGGCCCTCTCTCTTGTAGAGTGGAGGCCAGATATCAGAACTCCAACCCTGAGGCTTTCTATTGGCTACAGAATTCTTTTTTAAGAATATCTCTGCCCCTGTGAGGGACCTTCCTTCTAAGTTCATTGCATGGCTCAATAACCCTCAAGATAAGATTAAAGTGGGGAAGTGATCTCTGAAAATTCATCTCAAAGTTTTTGTTCCTTGACTCCAAAGTGAGGTACCCTAGGGAACACAGACCCTGTTTCTTTCCTGCTTCTAAAGGGTGGGTTCAGGCAAAGGTTGGCTCTCAGCCTGCCTCTTTCACGTCTCAGAGAAGCCACTGGTGTGGGCAGAATTTTGCACGCAAAGAATGGAAGGACTTAGCTACTTAATCCAGAGCGGTTTTGATGAGTGGGCAGGATGGAGACCAAATTCAGCAGCGTGTCTGGGAGATATATGATGCAAGAGAGATGAAATGTACTTCCTTTAAGATTTTTGAGATGATGTGGTATTCTGGCTGGAGCATAGAAGTAGAAGTCAGGAAATCTGGGTTCTAATCTGATTCTGCCTCTAACTGACAGTGTGACCTTGGATGAGTCCCTCCCTTCCCTTCTCTGGCAGAAATGACAGAGTCCAACTAGTCACCAAAAGGTCCTGTTTAACGATCATCGTCCAAGTGAGTTTCGCTCTAGCTGGCCCTACACAGTGGTTATTTGTCTGGTCTAGTCAACTGAGCACCACCTGCCATATTTGCAGATGGCCACCAAAGAAGAAATGTCCTATGCAAGGTTATACAGCCAGCAGGTATCAGAACCAGAATGGGAACCCAGTATCCAAACTCCCCATTCAGTGCTATTTCCTGTCAGCCTACTGCTCCTTGAAGCCAGAAGCTTCAAAAAGAAAGGGAGGCTCAGAGCATTACATCATTTAATATGAAGAAACAAGGGCCTCCCTCCAAATGAAGTCTTCAGGGCCTTGCTGAGGGTGGCCATGAAACCTGGCACTCTCCTCTGAGAAAAGCATCTAATGCCTTGGTGTACATCAGGCCAGCAATTTTCAAAATGCCTCTGATGTGCCTCCCGGTCATTATCAGTAATTCTGTTTTTATTTAAACTCTACAAATTCTGAATTTTCCATTTTGCGAGGACTAGACCATCAAAGCAGAGCTTGTGAAACAAGTGAAGCATAATCATGATTTCAAAGGAAAATTTGTAACCTACTTAAGAGACTCTTCTAGGGCATTAGTAGCAGCTCTTGGCCAACCAGTGAGAGTGGTGCCGATCACAATTCTGTTCTTATTTGCTGAAACAAATCCAGTATGAATTTTAATTAACAGCGTTATTGAAAAAAAAAAAAAAACCAAAGAGGTTGAATTACTGGCTATACTTGAAAGTCAATCTGTATTTATTTAAAATTAAAAATCTAGGGGTGCCTGGCTGGCTCAGTCAGTGGAGCATGTGACTCTTGATCTTGGGGTTTTCAGTTTGAGCCCCATGTTTGGTGTAGAGATTGCTTAAAAATAAAGTCTTTAAGGGACACTGGGGTGGCTCCCTTGGTCAGGTGTCTGCCTTCGGCTCAGGTCATGGTCCCAGGGTCCTGGGGTCAAGCCCTGCATCGGGCTCTCTGCTCAGCGGGGAGCCTGCTTCTGTCTCTGCCTGCCACTCCCCCTGCTTGTGTGTGCTCTCTCTCACAAATAAATAAATAAAATCTTTAATAAAAGAAAAAACCTATAGTTAGTACTTTCCAGCATTAACAACTCCTCACTAAAAATTAGTCCAAATAATAAGAACTGTGGCTATTTTGAAATGGTGTTTAAAATATCTGGATTTGGATTTCACCTCCGGTGTCTAAAAGCCAGAGAGAGAGAGGGAGAGATGGAGAGAGAGAGAGAGAACTGTCTTTGCTTGTATCTTTATGTCTGTGTTTGCTGGCCACCACCTATGATCTGGTCAGAGGGAGATAGATTGTCCTGCACTTCCCTGATAGACTGAGAGCAAGCCATTCAGTTTTGAATTCATGAAACAATTCTCTGGAAATCCAATTGTTGATCTAGTAAACTGTGTTGGCATTCATTTTTGCAGTTTATGCAAGAGTGTGTCCTCACCCCTGTAAACTGTTTCACTTTAACATGAAAATAAACGTGCCTTACTCTCTCACTCCTGTTGATGTACTGACTCACACCTCTCCTTGATTAATGGTTCCCCTCTTTGAGCATCACCCCAGGAAAGCAGGGGGCCTGGGAAGTGGCTTATTCAATCAGCCATGCTCTGAAGTGAAGAAGTCAGAGAGAAGTGGGGCATAACCAGACAGAGTGGTAGGAACCAGGGAGGGAGCCTGGGGAGGCGAGGTCAGAGCCGCAGGTGCTTGAGAAGTCTAAGCAGCAGGAAGAGAGATGGAGGACAGTGTGAGCCAGCTCCCTCTGGAGAGAAACAGGAACAGGAAAGATATCTGGGCCTCTCCCTTCCTCTGTTGCCAGCCTGGGGTGAGGGGTGGAGGGGTAGCTACAGCATCAGGCTCATCATTGCCACTGCTTGGGGAAACACTCTTTGTATCTCCCAAAGAGGTGAGCCTGGGCTCTCATCTCTAGCAGGAGGTGCACAAGTATGTGGTTCAGTTTCCTCAGGAAACCCTAACAGTTCAGGGGCTCCACTGTAGAGAGAGAAAGGAGTGGGGAGGGAATCCTTACTTATGGAGGGCCTATTCCATACATATCTGATCTCAACAATTTCTCACAAAAGCCCCACAAGGATGGATTGTAACCTCCATTTTGCAGATGAAGAAACTGAGGCTCAGAGAGGATCATTAACTCATCCGTTTCCATAGCTCATTGGTGGTTCTCACCACTGGCGCGTGAAACTGTATTTCTGGGTTTTAACCCAGGCTCCACTGCAAACTGCCCCTCTTGCTCTGGGCAAGTCAGTGCAATTCAACAAACCTTTATCAGTAAGTGCTTAAATGAAAAGCAGTGTGGGGAAAAGATTGTGTCCCTTCCGGTAGAAGGGACAGGCCCAGACAAGAGTAACTGCAATAGAACAAACCCTATACAAAGTGCTACGAAGTCACTTTACTTTCCTACCTTAGATTGCTTATCTATAAAGGGAGTGGGATGATGATCTCACGTAGGGGTTGGCAGACTTCTACGGTAAAGGGCCAGACAGTGAATAGTTCAGGCTTTGCAGGCCATGCAGTCTCTGTCACAACTCAGCTCTGTTGTTGTAGCATGAAAGCCACCACAGAAAATACACCAACAGACAGGAGTGGCCACATGCTGTTTTCCCAAGTACAACATCCTTTTTTTTTTTTTAAAGATTTTATTTATTTATTTGACAGAGAGAGAGAGACAGCGAGAGAGGGAACACAAGCAGGGGGAGTGGGAGAGAGAGAAGCAGGCTTCCCGCGGAGCAGAGAGCCTGATGCGGGACTCAATCCCAGGACCCTGGGATCATGACCTGAGCCAAAGGCAGACGCTTAATGACTGAGCCACCCAGGCGCCCCCCAAGTACAACATCCTTGTAGGTCTTCTATCTGAACAACTTGGGGATGAGAGCAGCAGAGAATGATTCATTTTCTTCCTGAATATTTACCCAACTGATATCTGTAGAGTTTCTGAGCTGGAGGGCCTTTCACTTTACTTTTTATTCTGCTCTGACAACCTAGAATTGGGATAAAGGTTTTTTTTGGGGGGGGGGGAATGATTCTAATCAGAATTCACTTAAGAGCATTTCTAGAAAAAATAAAGTGGTGTAGCATCAGACATGGACACATAGTAACAATTTTAGAGTCTCTCTTTTGACACTGGCTGAAAAAAAATCAAAGCTAAGCTATTTTAGATAACATTGGTCAAACTGGCATGTATTGGTTTGGGATGTCTTCTATGACCCCTATTATTGACTTGCTCTGAAACTTTATACCTGTGTATAAAGTATACCTGAATATAAACTATACAACTCTCAGTGTATTTATTCTAGCCCCAAATGATAAATATCTGACTTGTCTTGACCATGCATAATCATAGAAAGTCAACAAACAGCAAAGCTGATGCACTGGCCTGGCTTAAAAAGCTTTATCTCTTTGTGGTTGAAGCACCACAGGCCTTTCTTTATAGAGAGAGCTCCCAGCTTAGCTAGAAAGACCAGCCATCTGCATGAGATGCTGATTGGCAATATGGTCAGAGGGGCACCAGTGGTAAAAAGGGATCCAAGTGGGGAGGGGAACAAGCCTATTTTGGATCCTTTTGGGTCCCTATCCACATCATGCCCTCAAGAATACTTCAGAATGTGAAACTCTGGAGAAAAGTCTGCCATTCTTTCCTCATATGCATTGGGGGCTGTTTTTGGTTTGTTTGTTTTTTGTTTTGTTTTTCCCCAGCAA